CCCCCTCCCTTCCACCTCCCCAGAAAGCTCACCGCCCCTCATCCTGATTCTAGCCATTGGTGTCTCGGTCTTCCTCCTCATCTTGTTCCTGGTGGTGTTGTTGGCTGTGTGCTACGTCAGACGACGGAGAAGGAACACACCGCCCACTGGTGACAGGTAAGTCTTCCAGGCCAAGCTGGTCCTGGTACGTTTGTTTTTGTCAGGTTTTGCGGCACTCGCAACACAATTAGGTCAACATAAGTGCAAAGATTTGAGGCGTTACAAGAGAGTTTGTTTTCGTTTTAGTAATGTTTTGCCGCGCTCGCAACTGCATAAGGTCATATGAGCGCCAAGGGGTGGATGTCAACAGAGAAGTCAAAACGGGGAATCAGACTCACTCTGCTCACCTCTCTAGCCTCAACAGCACAAAATCTGCTTCGACTATCAAGGCACCCCGGAAATAGCAGTTCTCAAGAGAGTGACGAACATACAAAAGAAGTTGAGGAAAAAATGACGATAGTAAAGACGAGGAAAGAAAAAGCAGCAGTTCCCCAGGTATGAGGACCGCATTGTCGTTGCTGTCAGGTGAAGGGTGTTATTGTTGGCGTTGTTGTTTGAAATGATATGATAATTATAATAATACGGTTTCCATCAAACTTTTTAAAAGATGGCATGTGTTGCGAAACTGTATGCATAGTATTAGTATGCATTTATTCATGTATCCATTTATTTATTTATTTGTTGATTTATTTATTTATTTAATTGTTTGTTTGTTATTTTTTAAATTTATTTACATATTATATGTGTGTTTCTTTATCCTTTCCTCTTTGTGTATGTGTGTGCCTGTGTGTGTTTGTGTCTTTGTGTGTCTGTGTGTGTTTGTGTCTTTGTGTGTCTGTGTGTGTGTGTTTGTGTCTTTGTGTGTGTGTGAGTGTGTGTGTGTTTATGTGTGTCTGTGTGTGTGAGTGTGTGTGTGTGTGTGTTTGTGTGTGTGAGTGTGTGTGAGTGTGTGTGTGTTTGTGTGTGT